CCCTGGCGGGGCGCTGCGCGGCGCGGCGCGGCGCGGGAGGCAGAGGCCCGGGGCGCCGGAGGGGCTGCCGCGGGGCGGCCGCGGTGCAAGGGGCGCGGAGCGGGGCGCTCACCGGCGGGAAGCGCGCGTTGTACTTCTTCTTCTTGCTCGGCATGGTCGCCCGCCCGCCTGCCTCGCCCGCAGCGCCCTCCGTGCAACGCGCCGAGCGCCGGATAAGGATCAGGATCCGAGGCAGCGGCTGCAACCTCGGAAGAAGCCGCCGCCGCCGCCCCCGACCCGGCCGAGCCGCTCCCGCGCGGTCCTAGCGCCGCCGCGGAGCAGCGCGCGCGCCCGGAGCGCCAGGCGTGAATGGGCGCGCGCGCCGGCCCGGCCCCATTCACAAAAAGCCCTCCGCCGCCACCGCCGCGTCCCCCGCCCGCCCCTCGCCCGGCGGGCGCCTTCCCGAGGCAGCCGCCCTGGGGACGGCCCGGACTGCAACTCCCGGTACCCGCCGGCCCGTCCTGGGGCTGCTGGGAGCGGTAGTCCGGCCGGCCTGGACGTCACGCGATCGGGTGAGCGGCTCCGGAGGACGGGGAAGCTTGCACTGCAGGATGGCTCCTGAACAACGCTTGCAACCAGCCTTTGCCGGATGGTCCGGCGTGCCGGGCAAAGCTCACCACCCTTCGGGGCTGCCCGGATTTGGGTATCGAGGAAGAAAAAGAGTAGACGGTGCTTCTGAGCCGTGTGCACGGTGCTTTCTGTCACCACCAGCTCAGATCTACTGAGGATGCAAAACATACTGGTATACCGTGGGTGGAAGTCCCATTAAACTCTCAGTGGGTCTTGCCTCTGAGTAGACACGAGTAAGATTGCATTACCCATGCAGATGGCTTCCAATAAACCAGCCCTGACGTTCTGAGTTGCTTTCCTATCATGTTGTGCCTGCAACAGAGGGAGAGGCACGCATCAACTATGCAATATAGTCCAGTCTTGCTATCCTTACACCACATTGGGATTTGTTCAATGGGAGGAGTAGTCAATGAGTATAACTTTTGCAGGTAAAATTATGCAATCATTGGCAATAGATAGGCCAGAGAAAAGCCCTGCTTCTTAGAAAACATCAAGCGTGTCTCCTGGAAATGTCGCGGGAATTGACCAGGCACCATTCCAAAGGGCCAGTTGAGACTTGACAGATACCAGCCGCTCAAACAGGGCACCCCATCTTTCCCCCCTCCTTCTACTACATCATCTTTCTACTTCACTATTTTTATCTCTGTAACCTACGTGTTACATGCAACCACTGAATCATCAAAGCATAAAAAGGGCAAAACAGGGACTGCTCGGGGCACGCCATACTGAAGGATTTGCGGGCAGCTGGTTATTCTTGATTAATTAAGCTCTTAAAGCCTTCACCCGGATGCGAATCGTTTGGCCAGGCACTGCACACACCAGGACCCGAACCGGTCCAGTTGGGTAACGCCCTTCCGGCAGGTTGAGACGGAGGCAGGAGGCGCATGACAGCCCTGCAAGGCAGGCCCGTTTCGTTGGCTTTCTTCCCCCGCCTCCCCCCCCCCCCCCCCAAGGTATGCTTTGGCACCAAAGGGGTAAAATTTCAGGGCAACCCTGAACAGCACTTGCGGCCTAAAACGAAGTATTTACCCGCCTAGAGCGGCCCATCAGACTCTATCATAAGCATCTCCTAACGTCACTTCCTGCCTGAAACGGAACTGATTCCTTTAGTCTTACCATGCGCAGATGGGTGTGTCCGCCTAATGTTTCTCCATAGAGCTGTCAAGTGCTAGAGGGTCGCCGCTGCACGTGCTCAAAGGAAAACACCCTCAAAATGGCCGACTTCCGCTTGTGACCGGAAGTTGAGAGCGCGTGCGGGCGAGAGAGAGAGAGGGCGTTTGTGCGTGTATTTATATTTTTGGAAGGAATGGATAATTGTCCAACGTTGGGGAAAACGGAGGAAACCGGCAGTTTTAAAATTAGTGGGCGAATTAGCTCTTTTCTTCCGGGTCCTCGTGGAGTTCCGGTCTGCGTCACTTCCGGGGCGTGCTCGCGCCTCCCCGCTCGCCCCGGGCCGTTGGTAAGGTAACGGGAGGCGGAGTTGCGACCGGGCCGGGACCCCAAAGGGGCGCGGAGAGGACTCCAGCCACGGCGTTCGGCTCCTCTTTAAGGGTAGGGCCAGGAGGAGGAGGAGGATCGTGCATGTACTTGTATTTGCATATGCAAATTTATTTTAGTGCATGCAAATCGTTGCCATCCCGACTCGTGTTCTTACAGCGCTGTCGGTCGTCCCCCATGCCTTGCTTTGGCAGCCCTGTGCTGAGCTCTTGCAAACTCAAGGCTGGAGCTTCCTCGGTGGGGTCCATCCGTCTGCCAGCTGGTCTCCCTCTTCTCGACTTTCCTTGCTGGGATCGCCTTTTGCAGGGAGCCGGGCCTTCTTGTGATGCACCTGAAGGACGACAGGCTGCATTTCATCCTGTTTGCTTCCAGGGCTGGAACTTGGACCCGCTTGTCTTTCTTTCAGCTGCTGCAGAGTATTTGCAAAGCTTTCCTGCAGCACCATGTTTCCTCCATTTGCTTCCTGTCCTGCTTTCACGCCCATGCAGAGAGATGGGGAGACAATAGCATAGAAGATCTTGGTCTCATATCCGGTGAAACTTCCTTACACTTGTGCTGTTTTCTAGTTCCTGCATTGCTGCCCCTTCCAAGCCTCATAATTCTTGGCTGCAGTCTTTCTGTGAATGGATGATTGGGAAAGGTTTTGCATCCCTTGGCCCGATTTCAATTTATGCATTGTTGACATCAGCATTGTGTAATGCTTCTGTAGACACTTTTGTTTTCTTCATGATCAGCTGCTATACTATGTTTATACTTTCTTTTTTCGGTTTCATAAGTTGTCATTTCAATCCGTTGCTGCTCTGTCAGTAATACAGTACCATTGTCTGTACATTTTAGACTGATGTCTCTTCTGACCATTTTCACTCTTTCCTATTCCAGCTTTCCTTGTATGTTCTGTGTGTCAGTTTCTCTACATTCTGCCTTAACAGTAGCTTCTTGTCCACAATACAGGTTATGCATCAAGATGACCAGCTCCTGAGGCATCCACTCAAGACCATCCATAGGTTTGCATGATCCACAGAGTCAAAGGCTTTGCTGAAGCCAAGGAAGTATAGACCCATCTTTTTGGGTGCACCTCAGCAGTAGTGTTGAAAACACTTCACACGCCTTCTCTTACAAGAGCCTTGGAAGGTAGGCCAATATAATTAAGTACTCTTATTATTCCTGTGCTGCAGATGGGCAGGGTTGGCGGGGTTGAGAGACTGAGATCGGTTGGCCTATGGCAGGGCTGTGTAACTCATCCTTCTGATTTTTTTTCTTTCAGTGCATCAACTCTCAGGTAAAAACGGCCACTTCCTTGGCTCTGGAAGGGCATGTTCTTAAGAATCACACCCTTTCTCTTAGTGGCCTGTTATTTCTCATTCCTCAGTATATAGCTAAGACTTATGCCAGTTGGCACTTGCCTGCCACAAGGGAGCTTTCGGAAAGTTGGTGCCGTCACTGCTATTAGTACATGTTATGAGCACTGCCTCATATCCAAAATGTAAACATAAGAGCCTTGCTGGATCCGACCAACAACTGGTCTTCATAGGCATAGGCCTCTGATCCAGAGAAGGCCCTCTGGGCTGCTGTCCGTGGCTAGCCTCCTCCTCCGTCAACGTGCCTACTCCCCTTTCAAAGGTATCCATGTGGTATCAATATGCAAATGCAGTTCCCTTTAATCGTATATTTCCTGCTGACACAGGTCACCACTGCTTCAAGCACTCTGCTTCAAGATCAAACCCCCCAAAGCTGATTTGTTTAGATGCTTATCGGGGCAGTTTCTTTCTGAATCTGAGGTCTGCGCTTTTCTTAAAGCGCTGCAATGGAACGGCCTGTGTGGGCGGCAGTGCAGGTACGCAGAATGCTCTGGAGCTGCTCGATCTGCGTCTGGCACTTTCTTGCAGCACAGTGTGCTCTGTTTCGGCCCTTTCTCCTCATGGGAGTCCTTGAGGCAGATTAAACCGAGAGCACGTGCCACTTCTTTAGCGCATCGCTCAGTGAGCATGAGCGGTTGAGTGAGGTATGGGCACCAAGTGCACCGTTCGCAACTTCAGGCTGCAGCTGTTGGGAGGCGACAGCACAGCGCCGGAGGGAGGCGCGTCGTCCTTAAGCTACCCTGCTCCCCTCAGCTGCAGCAAGTGAATGGTATCCCATCCCCAGCATCAACGACAGATTCCACTGCTGGTATGTGTATGTTGAACGGGAAAAGAGCACTCTGGTTCTTTGTTCCTGGCTGCAGAATGTCTTGCGATGACATTCTTTGCTCCTGCGACCCCGTTCTCTGCCTGATGCTGTCTGCCCTTTCTGAGTAACTGAACAGAGCAGGTTTGCATTCTGGAATTCTGGCCTTGGCAGTCCGAACTGGCCGGCAGTTGCAAATTAATTTCAGCACTGGATTTGTTAGGTGCTCGGCTTAGGGGCAGCCCTTGGCCTCTGCATGCTCCCCTTTCTAAGACGCAACCGTGCCAAACTTGCCTTGCTGGCTGTGAACGAGGAGAAAAGGAGGGGGTGGGTAGAATCACCTTTCCCCAAGCTTTTGGGGCCCTCCAGATGTTCCAGACTTCAGCTGTGCTGTCTAGGAGCTGATGCTCAGGAATGCTGGGAGCCACCCTCCAGATGCTTTGACTGATGCTAGTTCAGGGAAGGCCGGTGTGAAATGCTGGGATGGGGTGCTAGGCCCGAGGGGAGCCGGCTCTCTCGGCCTGGCTGCACTGACAGATCCCTTTCTGGGGTGCCTTGCAGAGCCATGTCTGACCAGCATGAGGAGGAGGCAGGGAAGGACGCGGCCTTCGCCTCCGAGCACCTGGCGGCCGAGTCCATGGCCGCAGACATGGACCCCTGGGTGGTCTTCGACGCGCGGAAGACGCCGCGGGCCGAGTTCGAGCAGTGGCTGCAGACTTACCAGCCTTCCCGCGTGTTCCGGTTTGGCGATCCGGAGGGCCACACGGAGCCGGTGGGGTGGATCGCGGTCTACGGGCCCAGCTTCTGCCCCGAGGGCGGAGACGTGGTGGGCCTGCAGGAAGACTGGGAATGGCTGCAGCTCAGCGGGCGCCACATCACCTTCGACACCATCAAGGAGCTGGCCCTGAACCGGCGGGTGCTGACGGGCAAGTGGCTGATGCACCTGGACAGCGGCTTCAAGGTGGACCACGCCTGGTGCGGCATCGCCCGCGCCGTGCTCGACGGCCGCATCGGCGTGGCCAAGGTCAGCCCCTGCTGCCCCGACTCGGAGCGCAAGCAGGTCATCTGCGTCTACACGGACGACTTCACCGACGAGGAGCAGGTCCTGCTGGCCGACGCCGTCATCCGGGCCACGGGCATCAAGTGCCTCCTGTCCTACAAGCCCGACGTTTACACCTACCTCGGCATCTACCGCGACAACCGCTGGCACCTCTGCCCCACCATCTACGAGAGCAAGTTCGACCTGGAATGCATCCCCCGCCGCTCCCGCATCATCAACAAAGTGAGCAACACGGAAGTCACTTAACGCGCGTGCGTGGCGCTCTCGGCAGAACGGTGCTAGTGCTCGGAGCTACCAAGTCCCAGCATGCAATGCTCACTCGCCTCCCTTCTCCCCCTAGAAACCACGTGACTTTCTCAGTGACTGCTGCCAACTGCTGGCCGCCAGGAAAGGCGCTTCTGGGGTCGGGGCTTTCGTATTCTGCTGTGGGGGTGGGAGCCAGGGCACAGCGTCTGTCGGCTGGTGGGGCAAAGGGTCCTCCTTCATGCCGCCACACGGACGAACTGTGGCATCTCTCTCTGAACTGCGAACCGGCATGTGCCCCCTTGTGAAATTCTTGAAAACCTCTTCTCTGCACTTCTTCCTCTGTGGCCTGTGTGTGTGTGTGTCCCACTGTAACTTGGGGATTATGCCCTAAACAAGCTGCCTTTGATAGACGAAGAGCGTACGAGGTTTTGAGCAGCACAGACCTGTTCGTCTGGCAGAGTCACTGCTTAATTGGAAGCGTTCCGTGAAATGCGGAAGCCTGGATGCTCTTGCAGCAACCGCAGCCAGTTAAACCTGGGAGCATTTTGCATATCTCCTTTTGTCCTTTGGGGTGGGTGGCTATTGCAGTGGATCCCTGACAGTGTGTGGTCATCTGACAGCTCCCGTGGATTGGGTCCCGATCACCACTGCAGCCTCGCTGGTTTATGTTCTCCCACACCTTTGCTCAGAGGGACAATCTCTGAATTTTTCTCTTTTAAGGTGGTGGGAAAATATGACTCCGATGCATTCACTTGTAAATAGCTTGAAAATAAAAGTAATTTTCTTCTTCAGCTGAGTGTTTAATGCTGGGCTGGGAGAATTGGAAAAGGAGAGAGTCATACACGTCAGTTATGCCTGCAGAGCGCACTTTGAATTTCTGAAACGGCTTCCCCAGGTGCCACCACACTCATTCTTAAGCAAGTGGGAAGGACCGAGGCTGGGGCAGGAGGCCGAGAATTCTAGCCTATAATTCTGCTCTTCCTTATGTTTCCATGATGTGGAGGAACTCTTTGGGTGTTCCTGGGATTGTCTTCCCACACACAGGAAATGTGTGTATAGGCAAGCATCTACTAGAGATTTCATATCTAGGCTGGGGTCCCACACCATCCCTGTTGGAAACAGCTTCTTGGACTCACAACTGTCAGCTCAAGGAATTTCCATCAGGGTTCCCAGCACTGGAGTTCAAACGCAAAGGTTGCCCTTGCTGTTTCTGGACCCCACGAGTTTTCAGAGTACGTGGAGGAGAATGTTCACACCAATTTATCCTGTACTTGGAAAAGTTTTCTTGAAAATGGATTTTAGGAAGCTTCGTACAAAGCCTGAAAACATCGGACAGCTGGTAAGTTGTGTATCAGGATACCTTGGATTCTCACCCGTATTATTCATTCAGCGTGTGGCCCTTGCGAAGCTGCTTCTCACCACCCCAAATGTGCATATTAAGAATTACTATTTAATATTTGAGGGGGAAAGGTGGGTCGCTCGTCTGGTATGTTGCCACAATTCCGTGGGAGCACAGGAACCAAACCAGTGAGATCTGCAGGGGGTGGGAGCCTGTCGTCCTGCTTCCAGTGGGCATGGCCACCTCAGCAGGAAAATTATTGACATTTAGGGGGCTGGAGGCTTTGCACAGCTCGTCTTTTCAAAAGCTGAGCCGTGCAACCTCATGGAATGGCAGAATAAATTGTACGGAAATGGTCTACAGGACAGACTTCAACATACTTCCCCAAAGGCTGACACGAGTGGAAAACAGCTTCGAGCCCAAAGGCTGAATTCAATTCCGGGCATGAGAGGCAGTCTTTGGGTTAGTGGGGTTCTAATACAAGCCGTAGTGTCACTCAGAGTTCTTAGTTCCAGGCCCTAAGTCCTGGGAGAGGCATTTGAACCTTTTAAAAGGGGGAAAAAATGGGTACAAAAGCCAAGAAATGGATCAGAGGAAGTGGGTGGGGTCCCTCCAGACTGGGACACCAGGATCGGCCGAGGCTCTGCCCACTTGCTTGAGAAAACTCTCCCCTTTGGGAGTCCTCCAAAACCCAATGCTAAAGTAACACCGTAAAGCAAAAGTTGCAGTTTATTAAGAACCTGCTACAGGAAAAAAAAGCAGGGGAGAGGCAGCACTTAAGTGGTTAAGTATCTTACTTATTCACGGAAACCCTTAAAAAAAACCCCGCAGCAAATATAAAAAGGCACAGAAGTGCTGAAAGGACAGACAGACAAGATTCCCCTCCCCGTCTCAGCACCCTGCCAGACTGACGGACTGGAAGATACCGTTTCCACCAGAGCCCACCACCGGAAAGCTGGAGCAATGGGGCCCTCAGCCCTTTTTCAGAAGTTTTTTAGGGGAGACCTGGAAGTTTAGGGTTTGGATTCCACCCGATTTTTGCCACCTAGGAAGGAAAAACCACTGTCCCCCCATCACTTTATTCCCTCTTCCTCCTCCAAACAGATCAAATCAGGCTTGGCGTATGCTGACACTGGGATCCCCTTGCGCTAAGGACTCACATCCAACCCAGCTCCAGCGCTGGATTGGGCCCACAGCAGTCTTGCTCAAGGGGGTGCCCTGCACAGATCAGCTACGCTTCAGACGTTGGCAGGCAACAACTCCCAGAATTCCTGAACATTGGAACCCCTGGCTGGGGCTAAGGGGGGGTTGAAGGGCCAAGTATCTGTGCAGGGGACTCACTTGGGGAAGGGTGGGTGAAAGGAAAGCCCCCAACCCATTTAGCGACCCCAAAGGGGAAGCTTATCTTAATTTCTACGACGTTGGCCTTGAAGGAGAAAGCGGCTTAGACTGTAAACGCATGTCATCTTCTCCCTTGTCCTAAGAGAAGCAGAGCCCTCACCTGGAAGTTTCGGTGTCAAACAGCAAAAATTGGACCAGCTGGCCCACTTTTACCTGCCAGTTCACTACCTGGCTCCCCTGGCCACTAGGTTTCTCTCCTTTGAAGAACCACAGGAAGAAAAGTCCTCTGTGCCCTCCCTGGAGACGAGCGGTTCTCCACCGACTCAGCCCACCTACCTCTTTTCCACAAACCTGATGACCTTATTCGGCCTCTGGAACAGGACAACCCCGTCGTAGAGGAGCCGTACAGGCGTGATCCGGCATGTTTTGTCCCAGAAAGAAGTTGGAGCAATGCTTTAAGGCCACTCCAGCTACAAAAAAGGGGAGTTGATTGGTAGTGAAACACAACTTCCCCAACTTGCTTTTTTGACCGAAACGATAGACCTGCGGCAGATTTGGGTGATGCCATTCTAAGGACGCTTCGTTAGTTTTGCAGCTGCAAACCGCGACAGCGGCAGAGAGTCAGGGCGCATGTGCAGAACAAAAACCAAGAAATACTGGCAAATGTTAGATACTGTTTGGTGGAAACTGGGGCAGGCTGGTGCGTTCAGGAAGACAGAAGAAGGGTGGGGTTCTCCTAACACAGCCTTTTGAGATCATCGGCGTGCGTGTGCTGTGGAACGAAATCAGGGTAAAATGAAACTGGAGGACATAAAAGGATCCAGTTCAATAGAGGCGAAAGTCTGAACGCCTTGAGAAGATCTAAGTGGGTTTCTTCCAGCACTTGAGTGCCCATTTCATCCCTGACTATGGGGCCTTTTTCAGGTGTCAGTTTTAATATACATAGATAGCTGAAAAATAAGGCCTCCGACTGCAAAATTCACTCTGGACACCAAACTTTTTGGAGACCTCAGCAGGGTATCTACCCACCTATTAAATCCGAAACCTAAATAAGGCCCACTTGCAGGCCGGAGATATCTAGAGCTGTTTCTTGGGGGTGGGGAAGCATTCTCTGCACACGGTCAGAGACTTTGCCTCTTCCAGGGGAAGGAGAACAATCACTATAATTTCAGCAGGGCAAAAGTAGCTCTCGAGCAAGGATGGAAATGCTCTGCCAGCGGGGTGAGGAACCAACCCTTGATGCACCCCGGAGGGGTCATGGAACAACGAAAGGGTCCCAAGTAGCTCGCGAAGGCACGTTTTATCTTCTGAGCACTCCGTAGTTGAGAGAGAACCTTTTCAACCAACTAGAAATGGCAGAGGCTGTCCCCGGGGTGGGGTGCCTGCCCACTGCCCCCTTCTGGTGTAAACCCAGTTGCCGGCCCCCACCTCTCCTACGAAGAGACCTCACGCCCCCGGGGAGAGACGCCGGGGAAGCTCACTGCTGCCGTTCCAGGAGATCGGTCCCTCGCCTGTCGAAGTCCTCCTTGGAGGCTGGCCCACCTGTCTCGAAAGGAACCAGTGGCGGAGAAACCCCGGCGAACGGAGACGGCGTGCAAGTCCAGGTGAGGAGAGGCACGGAGGGGCGTGAGCGCAAGCAGGGCGGCCGGCGGCCTCCTTCCAACGCTCCTTAAGAGTTCAGCTGGTTGAGGAGCGAGCTGAAGTCCAGATCGACCATGGAGGTGAAACTGTCCTCGCCAGGCACGGGGGGCAGCAGGCCGTTCATGAAGGGGTTGGCGGAGCTGCCGCCCCCGCCTTCCTCGCCTCGGGGCGGCTCCCCTTCAGCCCTCCGCTGGCTGACCAGGCGGGTGATGGACTCCGGGTAGGTCAGCAGAGTGGCCTGGTTGTCTGAGGCCAGGGTGGAGGCGGAGGCGGAGGCCGCCGCTGCCGCGCTGGGCCCTTCCGAGAGGAGCTGCCGGAAGTCGGCCGTGTTGATGGCCTCCAGGCTGGTGTAGGGCGCGTCGTCCAGGATGCCTCCGAGCTCCATGGCGCCGGCGTCTGCCCCCTCGAAGTGGAGGTGCAGGAAGGCGTCGGCGATGGCGGCGTCCGTGTCGGGCTGCACCGGCTGGGCCACCCCGAGCCCCGACAGCTCTTCCATGTTCACCGTGCTGAAGCCCGGCTGCATGGTGGCCGCGGGAGGCAGTGCGGCGTGGCTCGCTCCGCTGAAGAAGCCAGGAGTCGGCTGCGGCGGGGGCTGGGGCTTGGCGGCTGGGGGCTGTCCTGGCGTGCCCATGAGTCCGGAAATGCCTGCAGACGGGGAGAGGGGAGAGCAGAACGGCTGCTTGTTGCCAATCCCGGGGTTCTTTAAGGGCAATGCAGGAAGATGCAACGACCTTAGCATCAGCTTTGCATCTGTGAGAAGTGGGACTCCCGGCACGCACAACTTCAGCCCTGGTTGAGCTGGGTTTCAGGCAGATGTCCTCCTGGCCCTACCTGCTGAGGTTCCACCTTGGGACTGTCTTGCATCCACTGAGCTGGGGTGAGGGGAGGTGCAGCTATTCTCTTGGCCCCACTGCCTGCTGTTTTCCTCTTCCCACCCATCCTTTTTTCCTTGCGTGCCCTGCCTTGTTCTACCGATTTCAAGCGAGCATGTTCAGGAAGCCTGTTGGTTCAAGCAGCAAGACAAATACCCCTGAAAGCCTCCAGCCAGCTTTAAGAAACACACCGGTTTGCTTTAAGTAGCGTTTATCGCCACAAGCAGCCAAACGAGAATCGTTTGAGATGTACTCAAACGCGTTTTGAGAGAGGCTGCAATTCTGCAAACGAAGCGGGAAGTGGTACAGCCTGGAAATCCAGACAGATACTGGGCCAGGACTGGGTCGACACACAAGCCTTGGTGCAATCCCAAAGAGATGCTTCCGTCACTCTATTTGCCGGACTGCTGTGATGGCAACGGTCGTAACACGTGAATTGCTGCAGAGGGAAACTCACTGCAAGAGAGGACAGCCCGGAAGGCGCGGCTTCTGTGAAGAAAATCTAGTTTGGGGCCGGGGAAAGGTTTTGGTACATGCATGTGGGAAAAACAGCGTCCAAGTTTGCACTGCCAGGGTGCAACACCAGGCACGGAAGCTGGGAGATGAAACAAAACCAGAGAACATGAAGCCCCAAAGAGATATAAAAGAAATATATAGGTGCAATGTCGCCTAACACATTGGTGCAAACAAAGCTGCTAGTCCACAGTGAGGTCTTTACAGCGACTGCTTTACAACAGAAGGGTGGGCCACTGGTTGCCCTGGCAACATGCATACACCAGGCATAGCCAATGAGAAGAGACCATCAAGGTCTGTTTTACGAACTCTGCTAGGCAGAGCCAGACAACCTTCACAAGCAAAGGCAGAAATGCTCCTGAGGAGGAGGAAGCCTAGGAAGTCCTTACCGGTGGTACTGGGCCGCCCCTGCCCTGGTTTGGGAACAGCGATGCGGCGCTGGGCACGTGATTCCGGAGCTCCGACTGTTTGGGGGAAAAGAAAACAGGCAGAATGCATGGAACTTCAGAGCACCTGAGGCTGGACCTCAGTTCAGCTGGCCCATGATGGTCGAACAGGTTGGGCAGAAAAGGGACCCCTTTCTCCATCACCTGCACCTGGATCTCCTGGGTAATGTAGTGGCCAGGGATTGACCCTGGAGCATTCCAGGGGCAGGACGTTGCAGAGGAAATGCTCTCACGAGTGCAGTTCCAGGACAGAACCCACATCAGTCGAAAAAAGGAAGAAAAAAGACTAGAGGAGCAGGGGAGAGAATACAAAACACACCAGCATCGTGCGGCTTAACTCTCTTTCTGCCAAGAGGTGTCAGGCAAGGTGCTGAAACTTTTTAGAAATGTCGGCAGGGACATACACAGAAAGTGGGAAACTACCATGACATTGGTGGTTTGGGAAAAGGGCCGTCTGAGGAATGCCCGGAAAGCAGGATTTGGCTCACGGGGCCTGGAGTCCAGCACCCCCATCCCAGGTGCTCACAGTATTCAGGGGTCACCATCACCTCCCACAAACCTCGAGTCCCCAGGGCCCACCACAGCTCCCTGTTTTCGCCGGCTCCGTTCCTCCCTACCTGCAAAGGGCGTTTTCTGTACAAAATTCTTGAAGGTGCCCAGTGTCCGTTTGCGTTTCTCCTCGATACGGTGAAAGTCGCCTGTTTGAAGCAGTGGGGAAAGCAAGGAGGAGGCAGTCTGGTTTGCAAGGGGGCACAGAATCCCCTTCTCTTCCCCCTCAGTTACACTTTTCTTCTATTTACTCTGAGATTAATTTCTGAAATGCTGGGAATACCTGGGGTGGGGTGGAGATGGAAGAGGTGTGCTCATTCCTTACCCATCCCCAAAACTTTACCCCAAATTCAAATGGTTGAAGCTGCCTTGCAAATGTGATGAATGACAACTCCCAGCACCCCAAGGAGTTAGGCTGGCTAGGAGGTGTAGTCTAATAAATCTGGCTTGCACAAGGTTGGGGAATGCGGATTCAGACTCTAAGCATACTACTAGGGTGTGGGAAGGAACACAGAGCAATTGTTTAAAAAGTCCACACTTATTCGATTCCTAGCCTGCCTTGTTTCCCCTTGTGAGGAACCCCAGCATGGCTCTTCTCTATTTTATCCTCACAGCAACCCTGCCGGGTAGGCCAGGCCAGCAGTCAGTGACTGGCTCAAAGTTTCCCTGTGAGCATCATGGCTGAGTGGAGGTTAGAACCCAGACCTCGAGTCCCACTCCAGCACTCGGACTGGCCCTCCGAACCAGCAGAAATAAGTATTTCCAAGGGTGCTTGTTGTGCTGTCGGAGGCCTTTGCACCAGTCAGCCAGAAATGGAAGCCCGCAGGCAGCTGTTCAACGACCGAGGAAGAGCCTCTGCTCGAGGAAGACGGAGGCGAACACAGCCCCAGCTTGGTGGAAAGCAATACCTTCATCGGGGAGATAGCGGAACTCCATGGGGCCGCTGACCTCCTTGTCCGACGGGCGACGCAGCTGCATCTGCACCGTCACCGGCTCCCGGAGGGCTTGGTCCATGTACGGCGGGGTCTTGAAGACGATGGCCACCTGGCGGTGCACGTCGGCCTGCGAGAAAGAGCCCTTTGCCTCCCACGCGTCCTTGAAGAAGCGGACTTCGATGTCCTCTGGAGGGGGAGCACAGACGGGGAAGGGGTCGCAGGCGTGAGAAAAAGGAGGGGAGAAGGGGGAAACGCCCCGGGGTTTTGCGCACCGTGGCTGGGTGCTTAACTGGCAGTGGTCGTGGGGCCTGCGGAGGCATCCACCACCTCTGCAGCACTGGCCCTCGCAAAGGACTGCGGCGGAGGCAGGAAGGTGCACCGGGACGATCTCGGACTGGGACAATTGTCCCGGAGGTCTGAGAAAACCAAGATGTTGGTGAAGCAAATGCGGACAGACGGGCCTGCCAGGTCGCATCTGCTTTTGTTTCGCACTGTGTCATCTCCCATGGCCATTAGTCAAGAAGCAACACACAGAAGTTGCCACCAACAGTCAGTGAAACATCTTAACCCGTTCCAGATGTTCCTGAATGACAATGACAATGACAAGAAGCCGCTGCCTGGGAAAGCCTCCCATTGTGTGGTCCAGGAGGCAGAACATGTAGCAAGTTTGCACGCTCCACTCAGAAAGCCTTGCTCGCTCAGCCTTTTCCTGGCACGTACGTACTCGCAACTCATCATCTCCCGTGCTGGCTCTACTGATCCTTGCTCACTTACTGTAGCTCAAATTGGTTTTAATCGTGCAGCTGAAATAATTTGAATGTATTTAAATATGCTTAAACTGAATTGGTATTTCAACGTGAACTGCATAGATTTCAATATGTTAATATGTTTCAATATGTTTAGAGATTATGTAAGTATTCCTAAGAAACACACACACCAGCCTATTTCCTGCTTTGTCTCCCAGATGTGTTGACACCCAACACATCTGGAAAGACACCAAGAAGGAAATAAAGTTGGTAGATTATATTCCATAGAAATACAGAAATATTTCCTTAGAAAAATATATACTTTTCCAGATTAATTTATAATGCTTTGTCCAACCAGGGTAGCAAAGAAACATACAATTGTACATGCACGGAAAATATTTTACTCTCTGGATTGTTATTGTCCTTGCTGTCCTTTTGCAAGACTAGACTTCCCTCCCTCTTTCAAGCCCCGGGCAGACACAGTTTAGGTGAAGAGAGGCTGGCGGTGTAATTGAAAAGACATTTGCCAGAGAAATTCTACCTTTCTGTACTTTGTCGCAGAGAAGGAAAATCTCATCGCCTCCGAGGCAGCTCCCCGAATTGCGGTTGACACGGCAGATCTTCAGCTCGGCAGTGTTGGGAGCACCTGGAGACGGAAAAAGCAGCGTGTGAGACTTGGGGCTGCAGAAGCACAAGCGAGGAAGACCATCACGGCAAGGGGAGTCCAGAGTGTTCTCTAGCTAAAGGAATGGGGCAAACAGCAGGGAGCCTGGTTGTGCCTTTTAGCTGTGAAAAGGGCACAGAAATTTAGATCTATGCCTGGCGTGCTTTTCCCCTCTTCCCTTCCAATCCCTGCTCCTTTTGTGCCATTTCTCCTAGATTGCAAAGCCTCATTATTGATCTTTGTAAGCCATTCTTGAAGGCTTTTCATGCCTGAAGGAAGCAAAACATTTAAATAAGACTCAATGATGATTGTGTATGATTGGCCGAGGTTTATGATGCTCTCAAGTAGGCTAGGTTCACATGGGAAAAAAACTAGGTAGGCTTTAAAAAAAAAAAGCTCAATATTTAAATGGAAAAGGGTTCAAAGGGTCCCAACACAAAAAGGGGCTCCCAGTCTTTTGGGAACTGTGGACACACGTGGGAATTTGAGACCCTGCTACGGGAACCATTACAAAATGCTTCCCAGAGAAAAGACGACTAGCTGTTTCTTGGCTACTTGTGAAGGCCTGTATAAAGTGAGTTAGAGAGGCGAGGACAGACAGACAGAGTGAGGTTAGAAAAAAGAAGGGACCGAACGGCTTCTTGCTCCCGCCACTCCAGAGAAAAGTCCTAACACTGCTGGGCTTCTTGAACACCCAAAGAATTTGGCTTTCTGATGGTGTTTTGCTGATTAGGTCAATGTTTTCCAATACTAATTCACTTTGGTTTGCTTTTCAGGGACATACACTGAATTATGCTTTCTGTTTTTCCTCTTTGGATACACTGTGTTTATCTATCATGGCTGTTTTAATGTCTTGCTGTTCTTCACAAAGCAGTGTTTATTTTTTGAGAAAACATTGAAGTATCGCTTTAACTCCTGCAGGTGGAAAAAAGGAACGAAACTGAAATTGGAGGGAACAATCGAATTTCTCCATTGTCGGACTTCCTCAATCTGCTGCCTGACCAAAGGTACATATGCAATCTTAGCAAAATTGCTAGGAAGTACACAAGAGAAAGAGTTCGGATGTGAGCTGCTATTGCTAATGAGGCGATCCAAGAAGAAAGGGAAGGATAAGAGAAAGCTGACTTTTCATTTATAGACAAAGAGGAAGCCGAGAATTTTAGAGGTATCTTCGAGGTCACTCAGCCCAGTCAACCCAGCGATACAGGATGCGGCCACAGCATCCCCGCCAAAGGGCCACTGGACCCTGCTTGAGCATCTCCATCAAAGGCAAGTCCACCTCATCCAGAGGCATTTCTGTCCTGCCAGCTTTTTACTGCTTTTGCCACTAAGACGTTTCTCCGAATGTTCAGCCAAAATCCGTTTCCCTTCAATTTCTACCCGTTCCTCTCTTGATCAGGGGACTGGGACAGGAAACCTTGGAGGTCCTTTTCTAATTCACTCCCAGTGTTAGGATTGAGAAGGAAAATGGAAAAGCAAGTTCTTGGGCTGCATCCAGATGGAAGACGCCTTCATTCATCTGCTCATCTGGGAATTCAAGTGGACTTGTCCTTGAGTGGAGACGTGTATGTTAGCTGAATTTTGGCATATTTATTTTAATTGAAAAGAAGCTTCTAGCCTCTTTGCAGGACTGATCCCCTCAAAGAGGCTTACTATAAGGAGGTAAACAGTGGAGATTTAACCAGAGGCCAAGCCAACTCCAAGGACAAGATGTTGACAATGCCGCCGAAGGGTGATATGGCACAATCCAGGGCCCGCTTCCGCCTCACACAAAGCCACGCATTTTTTTATTATTTGATTTGCTCCCTGCCTTTTCCCCAGCTGAGAGATGGCTCCTGCCCTTTTGCTTTTTTGTGGGAATTCGATGCAACTGGTTTCGTGTCTGGAACCATCTGAGTTCCTCCCAGCAGAGTCCAGAGCAGCCAATGCTGAACCAGATTAGTGTGGGTCGCTCTTAGTCCCTTACATGAAGCAGAGGTGAAAGCAACCAAGAGATAAGTGATCCGTGCCTACACCAAAGGGCCACCCTGCGGATGGGACTGCAAACTCCCAGCAAGCACAGGCCAGGGAAGATGGAGGTTGTGGTCCAGTGGATCAGAGAGACCTGGGCTAGGGAAAGCTGACATCATCTGTTGGCATCGGGGTGGGGAGTGCCTCCTGCCCCCCAGGAACACCCCGCACTCACGATTGTCGTAGATCGGCTGTGAGATCACCAGGGGCAGCGCGGCCAAGCACCCGCTGCCCGCACTGCGAATCCACACCTGGAAACACAGGCGGACGGCATTGAGGTCGTAGTCGCCTTTCAGCTCCTCCACAGGCACTAAGCAGATGGGAGGAGGAGAGAGAGAGAAAACCCAGCACAATTAGACCAGAGCGCCTGCCCCGTGCAAAGACAAGCCCAGGTCCAGTGCTCGGCAGGGCTGAAAACAGTCTTGGGAGTACAGTGGCTAGACGGTGTGGACAACACTGGCTAGAAAGCCCCAGGTTCTTGCGTTTCCACTGATGCTGTATAATGCAGCGACCATCACCCCCGATTGCCTATTTCAAACCAATCCGACAACAATGTGGACTAGAAACTTGGCCGCTGCCACTCAGCTGGAACACAAGAGAAGCCTGCTTGGACTAAGATGGGGAAATAAATTCATGTACCTACAGAGCCTTCTTTGGCTGGCCAGTTCTCTGCCGCTGCTGATTTCTATTGTGTTTCTTAACTTCTTTCATTTTTGACAGGGAAAATCAACGGGCCACGCTCCAGAACCATCCTCCTTTGGGGTCTCAAAGTGTGGATTGTTCTCTCTTGCAACAGGTGTCACCTCCATCCCATACTTGGGTTCTGGGGCCAGTTACCTTTTTCTTTCGGCCTCACCTGCCTGTGAGCAAGTCCCAGTCCCTGGCAGCTGTTTCCGTGAGCACACCCCCAACAGCCTCATAAAATTCCAGATGTGCTCACTGGGCTCCCCCCCCCCCAACTGCCCCCTCTAAATAAACCTGAAGATCCAGTCAAGATCACGTCCGACTGCACAAATCGTGTGACCTCGTAAAGGGACCGTCACAGCGCCCTGACGTGGCTGCCGGAGGGGAGCTCAACTGCCGGGCTGCCTCACCCTTGAAGGGGTTGTTGCAGGTCTCAATCCGCTTGGCCACGGCTTTGTCCAGGTCCCGTTTCCGCACGCACTGGATGCCCAGGTTCTGGAAGCTGGGAAGGGACACGTGATTGGCACGGCTGAGCAGGGACAGGGTGGCGGGGTGGACATGGGGAGCTGGGAGGCTGCGCAGGAGTGAAGGAAATGGGGAGCTGCGAATCTGGGCTTCACCCCCTCCAGACCAGAGATGAGGAACCTCTTGCGGCCCAAGAGCTCAATGCCATTTGGGAGTTCGCAGGAACCGTGTTGAGTTGCTGCGCAGGGCCCAAAGTGAGCAAAAGCACCCGTGTTTTAGCCGAAAGCTCTTTCTGCTTTTAAGCATTCGGAGAAGTATTTTATAGTTTCAAAAAAACTATAATTTATAGTTTCGGCCCGACCCATAAACGTGGACACACGCTGGACCTGGTTTTCTCGACGGGGCAGGAAGAGGGTGATCTGAGGGTGAGTAATTTATGTCTGACTCCCGTCATGGTCAGTTCACTTCAGGTTTGAGCTCGAGAGCGGCTTTCCCTCTGTAAGAGTGCGGACCTGATTGTGCTGGTCCACCCCTGGATCCGGATGGATCCGGATGGATCCCTGAAGGCCCTGGGGGATTTCCCGGTTGATAAGGCTGGTGCTCCTGTAGATGCCCTGGTTGAACTATGGAATGGGGAAATGACCAGGGCTATTGGCACGATCGCTCCCAAGTGTCCTCTCCCACCGGGCAGAGCCCGTTCATCCCCCTGGTACACACCTGAACTACGGGCGATGAAATGGGTTGGGAGACGTCTAGAGCGTAGGTGGAGAAAATCATGGGATGAATCTGACCGAACACACTTAAAAGCCCATTATCGGGCCTATGCTGTGGCGGTGAGGGTGGTGAAGAAGAAATTCTTCTCCGCTTCCATTGCCTCCTCACAATGCCGTCCAGCGGAGCTCTTTTGGGTGGTGCAGGGGCTGGTGCACCCGGGCCCAAAGAAAGATCTCGTACCACCCTTGAAGGCCCGCTGTGACGACTTCGCCAAGCATTTTGAGGAGAAAATCGCTCAGATCCGTCACGAGCTGGACTCCATTAGAGATTCAGATCCCTTAGGGGAGGTGCCAATGACTCCGTCTGGTCAGATATTTTTGGATGAGTTTCAGTTATTGCGGCCTGATGATGAGGACAAGGTGTTTGGACAAGTACGTCCCACGACCCGTTTACTCGAACCTTGCCCGTCGTGGCTACTGAACAAACTGCTGTGCAAAACTTGGAAAATGATGGAACGACCCATGGCTTGGGGAAAGGCACCTGCCTATTTGAGGCGGCCCCGGAGAGCAGAATTTGGCTCCTGGTTCAGAGGTCCCAGTTCACCTCTTCTCCTACAAGTATCTCTAATACAACACATAGGCCAACTGGCCCCTGTTTAAAAACATCCAACAAAGGAGAAGTTTGAGACCATCAGGAAACTATTCCTAAAGTTTAGTTCAGGGGTTGGGAACCTCTTTGGACCCACGGGGAAACCCTGGGAGATGGATTTGCCCGTCCAGGGTCGAGGCTTTCCGACCCACTGCTCCGGGAAGCTGGAGGCCCCTCTCCCCACATCCGCTCACCTGTGGATGGAGCGCTCCGGAGACAGCTCGGCCTCGTAGAAGCCCTCCTTGCAGTCTTTGCCCACCAGGTCATGCGGGTGAGGCCGATGCGGGGACTCCTTGGTCACCAGCGAAATGCGGATCTTGCCGGGACCCATGTAGTTGTGGACCTGGGAACAGCGGGGAGAAGAGCCGGTCTGGGTTGGCTCGGAGGCTGGCGGGGGGGTCTGGGTCAGTCCCACTGCGCAACAGGTTCCCAAGGATTCCAGCCCTGCCTTAATTCTGGAAAGCTTCCCTGGGGAGCGGGGACAGCGGGCAGGTGGGGCTAACCTTGATGGTGGGGTGGGTCTTGGTGGTGTCTGTGCTTCGCTCCCCCGGAATGGAGCCCGCCAGACGCCCCTCACACTGGTAGCGGAAGCGCATGCCCCGTTGCTTCGGCTGCTCAATTATCTCCACGAACGGCGTGCTGGAAGGGGCAGGTTCTTGAGGAAGGGAGGAGGAGGAGGAAGGAAAAACATAAAGTTCAGTGAGGCACAGCGCTCCCTCAGACAGAAACAAGAAACCCTCTGCAACGGTGCAGTTTTGAAATGATAGCTAAAGCTGCAGTCGATCTGTGTTTCTAGTCCTCAAGAGCCTTGGACAAAGGAAGTATGTAGCGTCTTCTCTTAAAGACTGGGCAAGCTTTTTCGAGTTCTTCAGAATTCTTCACCAGTCCAGGTGGTATTTACTTGTATATTTATATCTCGCAGTATATTAGCATTCCCCTCACCATTTTATCCTCACAACAATCCTGTGAGGTAGGTTACGCCCAGAGTCAGGAAGGTATCTGAACCCGGACCTCCTAAGCAAACGTTTTGTTACTTAAACACACATGTGCAAGACCTCCAATCCGCTCCAGGCAACTGGAAGTCCTGGTCAAGGCAGCGCCCCATGTACCATCAGTGCTCAAGCCCAACAACCCATGTGCCACAGCCAGAGGGGGTCACCAAAGGATTACCAAAATGGCTTAACTTACCCTCCCCTTTAGCCTCACAACAACCCCGTTTGGTAGGCTGGGCTGTGAGTCCGGCTGGTCAAAAGCCACTCAGTGAGTTTCAAACCAGGACCCCCAAGTCCCAGCCTGAAACAATAACTCAACCCTCTGGGGGCACGAAGAAAGCAATCCTGGTTCGGGCACACGACTTTTACCTTTTAAAAACCAAGCTTCCCCTTATTGCACCAGCCAAACAACATGGCCACAATCTATCTTTTCTTTTTCTCCACCATGTCGTCCCAGTGTGATCCCAGGTATGTGAGCTGGGGAGAAACTGCTTTGGGGGTTCAGGGAGGGGGTCCTTGCTTCTTGGGGGGCCGGAGCCGTTGTCACTCTGTTGTCTGGGTCTGCACATGGGGCAATGCTGGGGAGAAGCACGTGCATATTCCGAACCCTTGGCTGCCTTCGTTTTTCCTTCGCAGGAAGATTTTAGGAGGAGGCAAGGATTTTCCTTTCCCTGCATCTTTTTCAACACAGTGGAGGCAAGTAAGGATTTGAGGATACGCACACTTGGAGTTTAGCTGGGCAAACACCGGGAGCGCAGCCTGCCAAATTTCCAGGAAGGGCGAGCACAGAATGGCCCGAGTCATTCCTGCGCACAACCCGCCCCAGCAGGCCTGTCCTCCCCTGCTCCCCCGTCCCGGCGGGGACAAAAGCCACCGTGTCTGCTCCAGACCGGGTCTCGGATTCCCTCCCTGTGCTGGGAACCTGGGGATTTCCCAGATCCACGCTTTGAGGCAAGACCGGAATTTTCAGCTTGTCTAAAAAATGTGCGTCTGGCACAATGCACGATGAAGCCGGACGACCCGATGGGGGTCCGGCGCGGCGTGGGCTCCGGTGGGCACCCTGCCAGCAGGAACGGCTGTTCCGGTTTTACTGGGATCCCCCGTTTCCACCTGACCCTCGATTTGCCCGAGGCCCGGGTGATGTCCCCGGCCCCTCTGGGTTGGCAGGAATGCCGAAATCAACAGGGCAAGGCACATCCAGACGCTGAGATCAGCGTCTGGGGGGGGGAATCCCCACCATGGGGCAGGATGCACTCCTGAATCCGCAGCAGCAGCGGGCCAGTCGCTTGCACGCTGGGGGACCAGCAGTCCCTCCCTCCCTGGAGAGGGAAGGGAACGTGGCAGAAGCAAACCAACGGGGGGGGGGGGGGTGTTCTTTCCACAAGGGCATGAGCCAAAAACCGCCAGGGAAAAAACCCCAGGACTGGAAAGAGCCGAAGCTGGTCTGGCGTGGTGGAAGGGGCAGGGGACAACACCTCCCATCTTCCCCAGCCAGCAATGGTTGGAATTGAAGTCCAACAGCTGCCGCGAGGACCACAGGTTCCCCACCCCAGTGGATCCGCTGGACCACAGCAGTGTCTGTGCCGGAATCCCAACTGGGCTGAATTTCACTGGGGCCAGGAGCTCTCTGCTGGCCTATCCTACCTCACAGGGTTGTTGTGAGGGCAGAACGGGGAGGGGAAGAACCACAGATGCAGCCTTCAGCTCTGTAAAGGGACGGGAAGCTGTAAAATGGAACTGCTTCACCCCATTTCCTCCCCTTAACTTGCCCCAGGGCGGCCTTCCCTAGCTCAGCACCCTCCAGATATGCTGGACTACAAGGCATACCATCCCCAGCTAGCATGGGTGCTGGTTTCAATCACAGCTGGGCTTTATCAGGTCAGACAAGGAGGCATGAGTACCCCAACAGTGTGGCTGTAGAAATGTTTGTGGACAGAGCCGTCTGTGTCGGTCGGGTCACCTCCTGCCCCTGCGCCACCCGATCATAAAATGCCAGGCCCACCTTTTCTCCTACAAGGAACCCACGCCGGCCTGCAGCAATCCTCTTGCTCCCCATTTTAGTCTCACGACAACCCTGGGAGGTGGGCCAGGCCCAAGCACGCCCAGCGAACTGCACAGCTAAGGGGGGACTCAAGCCCTGGTCCGACACGGCACCTGCCGGCTCGCCTCTGCTCGGGTCCTGTCTGGATGCATGCAAGGCCCAAGGAAGGGGAGCAAGGAAGGGGAAAGCAGCCCAGAGGTGAAAGCGCAGGTCACCGTGTGCTGTGAGAGGCAGCGTGGTGCAGTGGTTAAGAATGTGGGACTGGGACTCGGACGATCTGGGTTCGAGTCCCCGCTCAGCCATGGAGCCCACTGGGTGACTCTGGGCCAGTCACAGGTTCTCAGCCCAGCCTGCCTCACAGGGTTGTTGTTGTGGGGATGAGATGGAGGAGGAGGAGGAGGATGTAAGCTGCCTTGAGCCCTTTGTAGGAAAAAGGCAGGAGATAAATCAACCAACCAACCAACCAACCAACCAACCAACCAATAAATAAATAAATGTTGATGGTTATGTTCTCCTCCCATGGAATGTTGATTGTCCTGTTGATATAAATGTATGTATTTTATGCTTTTAGGTGGTTCTAACTTTTCCGTACACCATTCCAAGAGCTCTTGCTAATCGAAGAGTTCGTAAGAACCTTAAATGGATAAAATTGCCTCCGTCACGAGCAGCAGGGCGCTGAAGCTCGCAAAAGCCTCCAAACCTGGAAGCTCCCATTTCACTAGGATGCAAATTTCAGGACTGAAGGCTTAATATCAGGGTCTTAGATCGCCCCCCCCCCCCGCCGTTCTTCGCTTCTGTGACTGCTAGAGAAGAGGTGCGGCGTGAACTGGATGCCGAGCCCGTGAGCGCCGTACTACAACCGCAATTTCTGGACAGTCTTCAAGGGCAGCCCCACGTAACACAAATTTGAGTAATCAAGCCTAGGAATGCCCAGAGCCCGTCGCTTCCGCAACATGAGCCTCCATCAGCCACGGGGAACGAGGGCCACAGCGAGCTTGTGTGCCCCTCACAACGCCATCCCGGCAAGGGGCAAACCAGCCTGGCCCATCCTCCAACCAGGACAGAAACCAAGCTTGCTTTGCCCTTCTCTGCCACATGCTCGGGCTTTGCAACCAAGGACGGATGCCTGAGATTGTATTTTTCCTCCTCCCTCCCGATTCTATTCCTTTTGTGTCGTGCTTAGGTTGTGATCCCAATGGCAAATACCGTCTTACGGCTGACCTTTGAAAGGCCTTCAAGGGCCTTTTTTGACTCAATGGCAAGGTAATAGCGCTTTACAAACACTAAAAGGTAAGCAAGCACTCTCTAAAATTGCACTGCATGCGTATTAGGTGATACACGAGTCTATTTACCTATTCCCCAATACTTAGCTGAATAGATTTCACAAGAAGACTTTTGTGTTACCGAATATCAAATCCACACGAGAATCTGACAACTTCACAAGTTAACTTTCCTATTTTATTATTCGGATTTTTATATACCACCCCTGGGTGATTTTCAAGCTATTCAAACCAACCACTGTTAAAATTTCAACTGAAAATAAAACTGATCTGGGAACTAATATGGGAAGGCCTGTCAGAAAAGTTATGTTTTTAATGCCCCCTTAGAGAGAGCAACCTAGGAAATATTCCTATTTGTAGAGTCCTATGACTTCCTGCAGGCTGCTCCAGTTGTACATTAGTGTAAATTTATTTATTTTATTAAAAGCTTTTGTATGCCATCCTTTATATAAATATCTCAGGACGGCTTACAGCAATTTAAAACCATTTAAAACATCTAATAACATCATCCACAAATTAAAACAGTGATACCGTATAAAACAATAAACAAACATCAGATAAATCAAATTAAATCAAAATAGGACAAAACAAAAGCAACTGGAAAAATCATTAAAACTATTTTCTTTTAAAATGCCACTTAAATAAAAGAGGTTTTGACCTGGCGCCGAAAGGAGTATAAGCCAGGCGTATCTCTCTGGGGGGGGGGGGGGCGCATTCCAGAGTCTGGGTGCCACCGCAGAGAAAGCCTTACTCTGAGTGAATGTCTGGAGTTATTTCAAAGCATAGGCACGCTAAAACCGCAATCTGGAAATGATACACAACGCAACACACAGAGGCGGATGGAAGGGTGCTCGAGTCCTTTCTGGGTGTTAGCAGGAAATGTTTATAAGGAGGCCAATCCACGAAAACCAACGATCTGGATGAATTCCTCTGTACTAGGGTGTTTTTTTCCTGAAGGAAATGTTCCATTCTTTGCGACTGAATCATCTCATAAAGTTAATTAATAACATAGCAAAGTCACATAATCAATGAACACAACAGACGTTTGACTAGGCAACTGGAAAGGGTGCGATATTAATCAAGAGAAGGCCATTGTAGTCTTTTTTTCCCCCCAAACTGACCGTCTCCAGGAGACAAATATTTGTGTGTAAAGCTCTTGAGGAATGCTGACTTTGGGGGAAGCTTCCTGGTTGTTTAGATTTCCCTAAATCTCACAAGGAAAGGGTATGCTCTGGAGTTGTGTTGTTTTAAAACTTAAGCACACAAGAGGTGCCACGCAGGCAGGGTCAGGCAAGAAGTCCAGGGTTGTGTTCCCATGCAGTTGCACACAAAGGGAAGTCCACAAGTACCCACCTGCCCAAGTTCCCCAGCGACTGGAGTCTATAGGCTTAGTTCCTTGATCGTGGAAATGAGCATATACCCTTAGAAAGGCTTCCCTTTTTAAAAGAACTTTTAAATTGCAAAGATTTTTTTAAAAATAATTTTAAATGAGTGACCTCTGAGGGCTTTAAAAATGAATTCGAGTTTCACTTGCTGCTGAACGAAGCATTCCTGAATCTCCCCATAAACAGCTTTATAGGATGACCCCATCAGGTTCAACTATGCCAACACAAATACATTTCCGAATAAAGTTTGCTTGAGGGTCACTTTTGGCCCATGCCAGCAGGACGATTCTCTACTCAGATGTCTTATTGAACTCAATGGGACTTTGTTTCAAGTCAGTTATGTAAGGGGCTGTGGCCTAAATGTGGATTATGAAATCTGCCCCCCTTTGCCCCCAACCAAACAGCTCAAGTATTTTCGGCTACTGGACTTTGCAGAGATATTTAGAGACCTTGCAAGACACTATACATAGAAATACCAGTTTACTCCACTCGAGCCAAATCCGTCAATTTGGAGCAGAGAAAAATATTGGGGGAAATCTCTCTCCTCACCCTAATTTAAACATTTATGGCAAATCTGCATTACTAGTAAGAACATCAGAATGACCAAAAAGCCAGGACATGAGGCTTACCTTGAAGATTCCAGGTTTGCTGGAAGAGCAGGGGCAGAAGATCTGTGGGGGGAGAGGAAACAAGCCAGGTTAGCATCTCTGGCGAGTAGGAAGCCCGCAATCTGCTTTCCAAAGCGCCAGCTCAGCGAGCCCCCCCTTTTCTACAGTTTTTCCAACATATGCACTCTGACACTGAGGTATGGCCCTGCCCCTTAAAAAAAAAAGGTTCTAGTCCTCATGGTCCTGAAAAAAGTACTAGAACTGGAACATGGCGTGTTTTCTGATACCAAGTCAAGTCAGGTCCTGCCAGTTCTGCAAAACCTATTCTGATACAGTTCTGCAAAGCCTATCCTGAGAGAGACCAATTTCGGGATGGGATTCCTTTCCATAGGTCTCTGCAGATGCCAGAAACATCTTTTTGCATGCAAATTCTACCGCTAAGCAATGGTCCTTCCCCACAAAGTAAACCAACAGTCTAGTCCTCCTGGTTCCAAATAAAGGGCTGACCAGAATGACAGCATCTGATGCCATCTTTTATCAAACTGGACCACTGTTCCAGTTCGTGTATACTCCCGTCATTAATTCCAGCATCCTCAGCTCGGTGATAAGCTGTCTCTTTTCAATCTTGCTTTTGTAATACGCTTTGCTGTTAACAGGCTCAAGCGGGCATGCATGCTCCCCCGTGAATCCTTACAACAACCCTGCAGGGTAGGTGAGGCTGAGACCAACAGGGATTCGTGCCCAGGTTCCCCCAATTCTAAAAGGCATTGGAAGGGTGCAGCCCTTTGCATCTTCAAACAGGGATCAAATCCTACAATTCCCAGCATTCCCAGCCAGTCCTGTCTTACATAAGGCTGCACCTCAAGGCAGTCTTCCCCACCCAGCACCTTCTGGATGTTTTGGACTCCAACTCCCAGCAACTCCAGCCAGAATGGCCAGCTGGCAGGAATCCTGGAGGGGTCAATTTTGGCAGCCTGCTCTAACCACTAGCCCACACTGTTCACTTGGGATTACCTTGGGTGCTTTGCTATTGGGACAAGGGCGGCTTGCAGCATGGGGGAGTTGCACCCTTGGCATGCCACCTCTGCCCATCCAAGAAGCCAGGGCGACCAGCTGATGGCCTTTCGCCACGGGGACCTACCCAAATGACAAACGAGCCCCGGACGCCCTGCGGGTCAGAGCTGCACCCCGCCTGCTCGTCGGGGAACATGACGCTGCAGCGGCGAATGGCAAATAGCACCCAGGAGAAAGGGGAAAAGGTGGGGGAGAAGAGAGATCGCTTTCCGAGGCTGTGGTTACACTGCGATTGTGCCCGAGCTCAGAAAACGCTCCGAGGGAGGTGAGCGGGTGTGGAACGGCTTGGGGTTTTAAAAGCATGCCGAGTGAGCACGACACACACGCATACAGTGCACAAGATACAGAGCCTTGGGGCTGCTGAGACGGGCTCCAAACCTTGTCATGCGCCAGGAAGGGGTTTCCAAAAAGGCAAGGCCATCGGCAGCGTTCAAAGCAATCCCTTTAATCCCCTGCAAGAGTCCTGACTCGGAACCATCTGGGGTTTTTTTTAAACTACAGAACAGTATATCAAAGTTTTCAGTAAATGCTATCTGCAAAGGAAGAGGCCCAGTTCCCAATTTGGGGGGAAAACCTACCTGTTCCAGTTGCACTGTGAGGTTTATCTCAGGGTGGGCATGGAAAGACAATCTGATCCATGGTTTTCCCATGGAAACTCAGGTTGGAACCTGATTTAGAAAGCGGTATCTTGGTTTTCCAGCAAAAAATGGCCACTGCTCTCAGAGCCACTCACGCTAAGCAAGCCAAGACTAAAAGTACTTAGTTGGTGGAGTTGTAGAAAGAATTAAAAAAAAAAACAAATTACCATATATCCTGACCAGACCACTAAGATCTTCACTGGAGATCCTTCTCTAGGAACCACTCCCTAATGGAGTGAAGGCACATATTTTATCTGCTTATTCATTTCATGCCTGTGCCGCCCCACAGAAAACAGAGAAAAGCACAATAAAGGGATCAGAAAATTAGGAGAATTACACACTTTAGAGCTGCCAAAACCAGCTAATAATAACAGACAAGGAATAACAGAGAGAGAAAGAAAAGTGTCTTTGCAAAACAACTGAGTGGCCAAGTAAGTCTAAAAGCATCGGAAAAATGTGGAACCTAAAAGATGACAGATTTGGCACCGCTGAGCTGCAGTGGAGAGGTTATTCCAAGATGGGGGGAAAACATGCCCCTTTAGGGTCACGAAAGCCACTCGGTGAACCTTTCTGCCATCTACCTCTGTCAACGGTTGGGGTGCATTTTGAACCTCCAAACAGACTAGCCTGTAGGCTGCAGTGAGAAAAGTTTCATAGCAGACACTCGGTGTATCTTGTACGGGGCAGAGCTCATCTTCGGCTAAGCACACTCCGTGTGCAAGACCATTTGGACAAGCGCACTCCGGTCGTGCAGGCCGGCAAAGCCATGCTTGTTTACAAGGATCGGGTTTGGACAACACCGAGGGCTGAGCATGGGTTGAGGAGTGGCTGCTCCTGAAATGAGGATTCTCACACTGCTTGAGCCCGGCTTGCAGGGGAATCCAGAAAGCTGGACACGGCAGCATCAGAAAAGCTTCTGTGGCAAAAACGGCTGATTTCCTTGGCTGCTGCATTCAGCAGCAGTTCAGAAGGGAGCTAGGGAGCCCAGGCCTCTGCTTCATTTAGCTCCTTTATATCCCACCCTTCTTTGCCAGGGATCAACGTGGTGTTTGTGGGCCTTGTCCTACAACGACCCTGCTAGGTAGGCCAGGGCAGGAGACCTTGTCATGGTGGCAAGCTTTGTGGCCACATGTAGAGTCGCGGCCGGGGCCAGTGCGCGACACCGGCTCTTGCGGTGGGTTACGCACCGATAAATTTGCTTGGTCTTTAGGGCCCTCGTAAGACACTTGCTGAAAGGAGCTGCCCGCGTCCGCCCACCAGGAAAGAAATCAGTAACAGACAAGTGTGAAATAGGCTAGCGGCACAAAGCAGAAGCTGCGACCCCCATGAGAGGCGTTCCAAAAACCGAGAAGCAGAAAAGCTTGCTTTGAACCCACAAAGAGGAAGTTTGAACGAGACATGTCCAAATATTTCAGATGTTGCTGCATTGCGAAGGGGACCAAACAGCCTTGCTCCCGTGGTTTTTAGTGCCTGCTTTTACAAGGCAAGGGGCCAGGAGGAGGAACACACACACACACCCCGAGTAGCGCAGATCCTTTCCTACTGGCTCAGGGGACTGAGATGGAAAGTCCACTTACCCGCTAATCCACACACACCCCTCCCGCGCACTGCCAGCACGGCATTCTCCCGATGTGTCGGACTACAGCTCCCATACTTCCTAGCCTGGGTGGTGCAAGACTAGAGAGGCGAAAGCCTCAGAGAAAAAAAGTAGGGGAATCGAAAAATTAGGCAGCAAATCCTGAAGGTTTGTGTTTTCCAGCGATCTGGGTGTGCGCATGAATTTCCCCCCCGATTGCTTTTGGTCTCCCCTGCTCCAAACACAAAAAGTGGAGATTGCAGGGACTGAATAGTCTATCCCTTAAGAAGGTTAAGGTGCCAGTCCTCATGGTCCTGAAGAAAGGGCTGATTGAATCAGGCACTTTGGATGCAGCTGATGTGAAGGATGTTTGATACAGACTTCCCCAGCCCCAGCTGGAGGTGCTCGGGATCAGACCAGGAACCTACTACAATCAAAGCAGGTGCCCGAACCCCAAGCCATGGGGCCCAAATGAAAAAGGTGCGCATGGATCCATTCCAGAGAATCCTCTGGCCAAGCTGCCCTGCCTAAGTTGTTGGCATGAGCTCCTTTTCCATGCCGAGTTTCCAAGAACTCCAGAAGACCCAATCTAAAAATGACAGACCTGGAAGCGAGAACTCCTGACACCTGAAGACTGCCTGTTTTTCTGATTGACACACTCAGAAACACAATTTGATATTATTAGTATGAACCCAACGATGCATTAGATTTTGGACACCTTCCTCAAAAGCCACAAGGTGCCAGCCAACAAAATTAAATACAAAATCTATATTAAATGTTGCAGGATCAACGGGACACATCCGAGCCGGCAGTCGGCCCTTAATTATCATTCAAGATGACAAAGGGGAAAAATGAGTTATCCAAAGCTGCATAAAGTTTGCCCTAGTTTCTTAAAACTTATTTGGAAATGCAACTGCTCCTTGCTTAGGGGCAGTAAGAGAAAGTAGCCCTTTCTGGCTTTTGGGCGTTGCTGAACTCAAGCTGGGCTTTCCCTCTCTGTTCACCTCGTGACTCCCTTGTCCAGTTCGTGGATTGCTGGAGAAAAGACAACCATTTTCTCGCTCCGTGCAAGTGCTTTGGCAACACTCCAAAGTATGTCGGAACTTCAAGCCCGCCATGATAAATGGAAAATCTGGAGCAGCGGAGGGTTTCTGCTTCCGCACCTTGCAGGTGGTTGCCATAAAGCGGTTTGAAGCATTAATTCCTTGCATAAAGATACGTGACCCTATTCTGCTAGTTTTGCTTTTTTATTTTTTTTAGAAAAAACAAACAGATTAGGAAGTAAGTATCTAGACGTCTGTAGTTGTTTTGAAGCTAAGCCAGCCCAATTTGGAACGAATCCCAGGGAGCAGTCACTGTGAAAAACCCCAATTCTACATCAGGGAGAAGCAGGAATCGAAAATAAAATGGTCACGTTCCTACCCACCCCACACAAATCTGTGGAAAAGCCACATTTGGGAATGTTGCACTCATCTCTACTTATAGCACCAAAGGCAAGACACTGCCGTGCTCAAAAAACGGTACAGAAAGTGGTGACTCGGGGCACATTTCTCTGCATGGTTTGGAAGAAAAGAGGCTTCGGCTTGCTGGGAAAATGGGCCTTTTTCGGGTCCAAACCTGGAAGAGATTGTCTTGAAATGATGTAGGGGCAGGAACCCCGAGTGGGAAAGCTGACAACATCTGGAACTATTCAGCTTAGAAAAAGGGTGAGAAAACGGAGATGGGTGAGCCATGGAAAGTTTTTCTCCTTCTCCGACACTGGAATCTAAAAGGGT